GTCTCGGCTAGGAACAGAAAGATTTTTAATAGTGTGAGGGGTTGGTTAGTTTAAAGGAAAAGGATAGTGAGGAAGGATCTTTCTGTTAATAATATAATGCTGCTGAAAAAGGCACTATTTTTACACTTCTTTATTTGTAGCTATTTGAGATTTAAAGGATCATACAATTCTTCCAGTAACCAAACCTCCTATTTCAGTATTTTAGATAATGTCTTTGACTTTTTAGCCTTGTTGTTAATGCCCATGAGATCTTGAAAATTAGAGATTGGAATACTTCAGCATAAGGTTGGCCCACAATTTTTAAAGGAGTACTCTTTTTCCATTTATCATGCATCTTAGGAATGTGAGTGTTATAAAAGTTGGTGCTTTCTTTTTTCTTGACAGAGAAGTCTTTACGGTCAAAGGAGTCATCTTTTTGGCTCTGCAACTCGGTCCTAAGCAGGAAGGATATTAAATGAAATGTACTTGCGTGAATAATAGAGCAGCTCAAATTTCTTGTCTTTTTAATGCATCTTACCTACCCCTCCAAGATCCCCCATCCTGTCCTTTTCCTTGAAAGTCCGTATAACCTGTGTCCTCGTATAAACCACACTTGCAGGTAACCTGCACAAAACCCAAAGCAGAAGCAGAGGGTAACAGCTAAGGAAGGAAATCACAGGAAAGCAAGTTAGTGAGAGAAAGAGAACTCATGATGAGGGGATCAAGAACAAGATGTGCTGGGAAGAAGAGAGAGGCTATAGGGCTAACTTCTGTTACGTGTCTGATAGAAGAGTTGGAAAGGAATTTTTATATTTTAATAATCAGAGATGTGATGTGTTGCAGGTAAGAATGTATAATGATTTTTTTAAGCAAATGTTCTTTTAGATGAAGGGAAAGATTAGCTACTTAAAACAGATGTAACATCTCATCTCCTTCTGATGGGTGCAGCACTCTGGAACCAATTTCCTACATTGAGCTTCCAGTTCTGAATTAGTCAAGACGTTGCAGTTTTAGTGGAAAAAATAGGTAATGTTATGCCTATGTAGTATCCTTTTAACAAGCAATATATGCTTTAGTCAAAGATTGGGTATAGGTTGAGTAATGAGAGTGATGTAGTAATTTTAGTTGGGAGTCTGACACCTCCTCCTGGCAATTAATCCTGTTGGCCTTTTGTTTCCTTTTGTTAAGTTGTATATCCTCTCCTGTGTGAAGTTGCAGGTTGGCTTTCTGTCTGTAGATTCCTGCATGGAATCCTTTGTAATCTCTGTGATCTGCAAAGTAAGGTGATGTTATCACATATTTTGCAGATGGGCAAACAAAAGCAGAGAGGTGAAAAAACTTGCCTGAGGCCACAAAATGAGTAATTTCCAGAGCTGAGATTTCCAGCTGAATACTGGGGATTGTAAATGTTTGTTAGATATATATACACAATGTTCTTTCTTCCCTGAACCCGGAAGACACTGTATGCTTTGGAAGAGGAGGTCTGCTGGTGGAGAGCAAACAACAGTTACTTTGCGTGTTAACAAAAAGTGCCAAAAAGGGTTTTACGTAACAACAAGGTGACAGCAAATACACTAAAAACGGAAATTGTATAAAATAGAAGCTACCAGTACTTTTGTGTAAGTTAATTTATCTTCTGTCTTTGACCTTTAGGCAAAAGTAGACAATGAGATCCTTGATTACAAGGATTTAGCAGCCATTCCCAAAGTCAAGGCCATTTATGACATTGAACGTCCAGACCTAATAACTTATGAGCCATTCTACTCTTCCGCCTACGAGGACAGACAGGAGAGACAGAGTCTTGGAGAGGTAATGAAATGGCAAGCAAGCCATTCTGCTATAAGCTTTACTCAAAGCCTGCTATGCTTCTCTTCTCCTTTGATACAGTTGCTAATTGACAGTGCTGTTGCTGCTGCTGCTCAAAGTGCTTTTTGTCTATTTGATGGGCGTTTGAAGGGAAAAATCATGGTGATGACTTAGGTGCAAAGCTGCAGAACTGAGCACACAACTCCACTTCTTTCCATCAGCCCCAAGCGGAGGAGTGGGGGGTACAGGATGTTGGTGTGTGTTCTTATAACTCACATAAATATTCTGGCCTTTGGGTACAGCCGCGTCCAGAACACGAGGCAAAAGCCAGTCTAGTGCTGCACCATACCCTGGGCATGTTGCTTTGTAGCACCGCCATGCACAACCAAACACGAGGAATATCATCAAGTTCTGTGACAAGAAAAGGATTAAGAGCAGCTGGATGGGCTCGCTCACAAGTATCAAGCAGAAATATATTTCCAGAGCACTTTGTAAGGCATGCTGGCTAAAATACGCAGCAGGTCTGCACGGACTGGAAGGGCTGCTTGGTTGCAGTATGGAAATAGCTGCCTCCCATTTTAGACTGCTGCCATCTTTAATCCTGCAACAATATCATGTGATACATTTTCTTAAATATGTATTTAAAATATGTATTTGAAATGCATATTTAAGTGCCTTTCAGGATGTAGGGCTTCTCTAGGTTTCTCATATTTGCAATGGACTGCTAATATGGTTCCAGTGCAGACTGTGAGGCAGGTCATGTCATTCCATCTGACAGTAAATCACATTCCCAGAATGAAATGGAAATGGACTTGCTTCCCTGTAGTCTCGGTGGCTTTACTGAGAGTAACTGAATTGACTATACCAATGGTCTGAAGATACCCAGATTGGTGACTGACAATCTTCTCTCTTAGCATGGTGTCCTGCCCACCAGCAGTAGATTTTGCTTATGAATCAGGGTTACCTCAGGGTCTTTTTTATTTTCTTTTTCAGAGTTTTATAGGATTAATCTTTTAAATGGAAACCTGAGTTGGAAATGCAGGAGACCGTGAAGCTCAGGAAAAATACAAAACAAAACAGGTCAAAATGTTAAAGAATTTCCCCCCTCAAATTCAGGTCAGCAGTCAACCCAGGTGATGTCTGGTTGGAAACTGCTGTGCGATGCACTGCTGATCTCTAAGCAGCTCTAGCAGGTCTAGGCCCTTTCACAGACCCAACTACAGACATAATTGTGCAGCTGGTCACAGAGGATGAGCTAATCCCTCTCAGATAAAATTTGTTAATCCTAAAGTCAGCTGCCTTCTAATAAAGCAGTATGCTGGAAATTGCCTCCAGTTTTGCATTTTGGGCGCTGAGACAAATCTTTGGGATTTTCCTACCCCATATTTTCACCAGTGTTATGTTCAGTTGTGAAAGGGCTCTCACCTTCAGCTCAGGAGATTTGAGTTTTCCACTAAATGCTACCACTGATTTCTGTGTCCTTGGGCAAGTCACTTCACCTCTTTGTTCCTGTCTCTCCTCCCATCCCTTGCCCTAATGAACACAAGCCCTTCTGGAGCAGACCCATCTCCTAGTTTGTATTTGTACTGTGGTAAACCCAGTGACCCCTTAGTCTTAGTCTTAACTCGTGTTTGGCACAAAAGCCCAAGAGGCTGGACTGGTGGAGCACAAATACAGAGCGACATACTCCAAAGTTAATCACAGTCGGTGCATCCTGTCTGAAGCTGCTTTCCTTCAAGATCATGTCACATTTTCCTCAATCCTTTCTCAGCAAGTGCTGGAAAACTGTTTGTCCTTTTGGGACCAAGAGGGTTTTGTGGTTAGGTTTTGGAAGACAAAAACCCTTTGAGTGATTTGATCTGCATTCCCTTTGCCAAATGTGTGCATGTGGTGGCCTTAAACAAAAAGGGAACCTGAGCTCTAACTTGCACCCCAGCAGCGTGCAACAGCTGCCAAAATTTCCCCAGTGAGGACATAACCCGTATGGCAGGGACCCTTCAGCCGTAGGAGGTGAGAAGGGGCAGCAATGGGCGTTATTCCTTATTGCAATGAAAAAAGAAACCGCTTTGGGGAGCTCCTGCTCACAGCCTCTCACGTTCAGTTAAATCAGGGTTGTTTTTCTGGAAGTCTGAGATGAAAAATATTCTCATGCAGCACCATCTAGCGGGAGCTGATGGGCTCGAGGCCGCGGGGATGCCCCGGCAGCTCGGGCAAAGCGGCCTCGTGGGGAGTTGCTGGTGACTCTCGGGCTGCTGCAGAACTTCTGCTTTCTTGAGGTCACTCAATAAACTGTCTCCTATGGAGGGAGATGATTAATGTACTGATACACTTTACAAAAACTGCCACCCAGGTCGCAGAACGACAGGCCCTATTACTTCTGTCCTGCCAGCAGCCGGACCAGCACAGGAATCGGATCTTTTTTTCAGCTCTGACTTTTGCTGCAAAAAATATTTAGAGAAAGCCATGTGTTATCTGCATCCTGCCCACTGAAGCACTGAATGTCTTTAACAGCCTCCTGAAAACAGGCTGACATGAGAGATGCTTCAAAAACAGAGCAAGCACCCTACCTCATGCTAGGTTAACAGATATTGAAATGAGATCAGTGGAAAATGCTGGAGCTCCTGTTATAAGGTGGCACCTGTAAATATGGCCAAAACAGTGTCTGCCAAGAATTCCCAGAGCACAGAAGGATCTGTTTGATTTCCATTATCCAAGTAGTCCCTTAGGTCTTAAAAGTAACCGAACACTGAGCCTGTTGCAGTGAGTTTGACCCTAAGTTTGGTCAGAGTAGGATTTTTTGTTTTCTTTTAATCCAGAGCCATCACTTTGCATTTTCCCCATGTCGCTGTTCTGGAAGTGAGCTTATCCTTCTCACTCCACTTGCAAAGTTTGTTTCAAAAGGACTCGTGTAAAAACTTATGTGATAGAACAGGTTTTGAAAGATCTCACAAGCCGGAAAGAACCCAACTTTCCCTGGCAAGCCCAGAGTTTGAGATAAGGAAGTTCACCTGTGCATGATCAACAGTAAGTTGGCTGTGGCATATGGTTTCCTTTCCCAAAAAGCACCAAGATGATACTAGTGGGCAAGTAGAATCATAGGAGAGGTTAGTCATGGAATCAAGTCCCTGTCTGGAATGTCTTTTCAATCTTTGAGTCCTGTGACTAGCATGTACAACAATTAATTATTTTAGCATAGCAGCTAGGTAATCACAGAAGATTATGAAAATTGATTTATTTAAGGTAAATATTTAATTAAATATTTAAATTACTTGTAGAAAAACATGGGGAAACCCATCACAAACTGTGCTCTGTTCATTCTGTTGCAAGTTTTAGGTTTTATTTCATTGTTTTTGTAGGGAGTGATGTTACAAAGCTATTCAATCTGTAATAAAATAGTGTTTTTTCTCTATAGCACTTGTGCAGTTATAATGATTAGAAAATCAAGAATGTAAAAAAGGCTTTGATAGACAAGTTTTAAAAAGATTTATTGCTCAAAAGGAGATGTTCTGTACCCAAGCTAAAAATGTCACTCCTTTATTTGGATACTGTGTTTTCCCAATGTCACTAGCCCCTTTTATGGTCTCTCACTACTATGTAGGTGGCCATTTATTACCAGAAATTCTGCATACGTCTCACACAACTGCTGTTGTGTGCACTGTTGTGTTGTATTCTTGTTTGTACTGCCGACCAAGGCATAATCTTATGCTTCATTTCTAAAAAGTATTTCATGCCTCAGTTTCCCTAGCTCTGTAGTCGAAGCTATCCGTAAGTGTAATTCCCATTTGTTTTTACATAGCTCCTCCAATTTAGATGCTTGTAATTCCTGTCTGTTCTCCTTGCATACCTGTAGAGGAGCCCACAGCTGATTTAAAGAGCGATCATATCAAAGAAATGCTGATGACAACTGCTTCCTGCTGTGTAAGGACAGTGTATGGAATGGAAGGCCTTGCCAGCGTATGGCTGTTGGAGGAGAAATGTGCTTCATCCGGATATTTTTTCTGTATTTCTGATGCCATGCAAAGCCCCGAGTTGAGACTGTTTACTTTTGATTTCCACTTTAAGGATTTCTTCATAAGAGACACAGTTATTAATTTAATAACTCTTTTGGATTTTGATCTTTACAGCTATGTTTTAATTACCATAATGATTAGATGGCTAAGAGATTTTGTTGCATAATATTTGACTGAATTAATCTTGCTGTTATATTTCTCCCAGAAACTTAAGTTGCTTCAATGACTTAAGGAACAGTACCTGAGCAATGTAGAAAAATAAGTTTTGACTGTTATACTGGTCTCAGTTATGTCTGCACTGCCATTTTATCCTGCTGTGCATGCAGGTATCTGCAGCAATGTTCAGATTGCAGCTTTCTGGGCCAGCACATACCAGGATGCTTCTATAACCTTATTTTTTATGTCTTTGCAGTCTCCAAGGACATTATCTCCTACCCCTTCTGCAGAAGTAAGTTTGGTGGAACCTTTGGGGACAGTGTGTTGCTATGATTAGTTATTCATTTTGTGAATGAAACACAGGCATTGATTTTGTTACCAGTCTGATAAATCTCTGCTGCACGGGCATGTTTTCTGCTAATTAGAACTTAAGGAAAATTAAATCTAAAAAGAAAGCATCAAGTTCTCGTTGACAGATTTTACCATAAATGAAACTACGACGCTAACCAGTTGTTTTCTACAAAGCAGAGGCTTTTGTCCAGCAGAGGCTACTTCTTGTGTGTTCATTTTTCTTGTCGTATGGACAGGGACTCAGGCTTCAGGATCCAGTTGATCTGCATGACCTAAAAGGCTATTCAAAGCATCTAAGTAATAGCCCAAGGTTGCTACTGAAGCGTTGGTGATTCTGCCTTGAAGAAAGCCTAACTGTGGCCTGGCTTCCCCTCCCAGCCCACAGGGGTTTTTATGGACATCACAGTAACATTAAATTTGTCATTTGTCAAAACTGTGTAGGTGCCATTGCATAAGTATTACTGCTTGGGGAGTGGGCACCGCTGCTTGTTTAGCCAGAAGTCACTCCGATTGCTGCGTGTAAAAAGGTTACTCTAAAGTCTGTCCTGTGTTTCCACACAGTCCTGTTCCATTCCTTCTGGTTTGCCTTGTTTCGATTTTTACTGGAGCCCAAGTCAGCTGTGTTTCACTCTGTGAGCAGGTGTTGTGTTCTCAGATGCAAGGGGTACCTAATTTGTATACGAAAACCCTTTGCTCATGAGAAGGAAGGTAAATTAAGCTACAGAGCACTCTGTGCAGCAGCTGTTGAATTTTTAAAGGCTCCAAGTTAGCTAGCTGAAGACTAGCTCATGCATCTCTACCATGAGCTACAGGATGGGTGATGAACACAGCATCCCTTAAGGAATCAAAAGAATGGGGAAGCCTAGGATAACATAGAAGTTAATAGAAGTTACCCTGAAGGACATGTGCAATTTGGGCCTTCCAAGACAGAACCTGATGACAGGAATCTTCGGTAGAGACCATTTAAGGAAAGAAACAAACAACAACAACAAACCCCACAGTAACACTGAAGTAGGTGGAAAGCTTAAGGGAGGTTTTAGTTTCAGTAGCTTCTCTTGATGTCTTCCCATCCATGAAAGTTAAGTGCTGCTAAAAACTGCATGAAGTGCATTTGCCAGTATTAGTGAATTCTTTTGAAATGCTTCTATCCTGCAGGGTTATCAGGATGCCCGGGATCGCATGATTCACAGATCTACTAGTCAGGGCTCTATTAATTCTCCAGTGTACAGTCGCCACAGCTACACCCCCACGATGGCGCGGTCCCCCCAGCACTTCCACAGACCTGGTAAGGGCCAACTGCATTAGAAGTTTACATTAAAATGTTGTTACTTTGTTATGGCACGGAATGGCACAGAGAAGCAGTTGCTTTTCTTAGTAATGAAAATATAGAATTGAAAAATTGTTGCATATTTTAATGTCCTTTTTTTCTACTTTTTATTTATTCTTTTAATTAAAGCAGCCTTTTGCAGTAGATTAGTGAGTGTGCTTATATCATAAAGAGTGATCTTCTGGGTTTGTTTTTAATTATTTTTTTAAACATTTGTGTGTTTCTGAAAGTAAGCAGCAATTTGTAGTGGTGAATGATGAACTTCATTCTGGCATTTGGGGAAACATCACATCTTGAGAGGAAAAAAAAAATGTCATAGCTTGGCTATACAGAAATAACTAATGTAGCATTCCTCCCTCTTTAAAAACCCTTTTGATGGGCCATCCTTTCAGGAGGTGCTGGATACCTGCCTTTGGAAGCTTGGCACAGCCAGGGCATCTCAAGTTAAGCACCCAAAAACCCAGATATTTGAAATTGCTGGTCATCTTTAAAAACATGGGATTGAAGTTACCCAGATAGTTTTAGTTATTTATTTTTTAACTAGAATCTTAAGCAATATCTACGTAATTTTTAAAAAATATATTTTTCAGTTACTCATGTAGGAGTAGTAAAGTTGCACGTACACTGCAGAAAATGTACAGGGTGTTCAGATTCCCAGTGCCTTCAAAATTACTGGTTGTGTATATGAAAGTAATACATGAACTTGGACTGTTCATCCACATACAAGCTGCCTTAAAAATGTATCTTTCAACATTGTTCACTGACTACTGTTCAAGTTGGATCTTATTTTTTATATAAATTAACTGAATCTTTGTGATCTGTTTTTCAATTAAGTACTACAATCTTGCAGTTCCTTCTTCCTTGGTGATTACAGATGAATGGTTGGGATGCCAAAAACCCATGCACAATAGGAGCTGCATTTTTAAAATTAAAGATTTATTGTGGAGCCACCACTGTGGAACTTGAATGCTGTAGCCATTTCCTCACGGGGGTGGCTGAAAGCTGCTAATTGTGTCTGCCAGTGAATGCTTTATTTAATGGACCCAGGGGAGGAGGGACAGAAGCAAATTGTGTCTGATATTTAGTGCTGACAACATGGCTGTGTTTTGAGATGACACGATAGCTCAAACCAAAGGAGACTGACAAAGTGTGAAAAAGCTGCAAACTTCCCTCTCTTGATTCTGGCAGTTCTGCGGGGATTTTTCCATTTATCAGTTGTATCAGGGCTATGAACAAATCCAGGCCTTGTTGCAGACTTCAGTGCTTATGACTTGTACTGTCTCTGTTCAGTCAAGGGCCTTCCTCAGAGGCAGTCTCAGTTTATATAATTCTTGTAATGGACAGATGGGGGTCCAAGCCACAGAATTTGGATCCAGATCTGAAATCTTACAAAGTTTGCAGCCTGTGGGATATTCTGGGAAGATTTTTGTTCAGGCTTATCACTGTTCAGATGATCTCATCCTTGGCTCACCTGTTTCTGCTTCTCATACAACACAGAAGTAATTCTGCAGAATTCATTGTTGCAAACTTTGCCACCCTGCCTTGGGCTAGTTATTAATGTTACTCTTTAATTTTCCTGTTATTCATGTTGAATAAGAAGACATATATATTTACCATTTTTTTTCTCCTAAGGCCACTTCTCATCATCATAGCATTTCCAAGAGTAATTTCTCTCTGAATAAACCTAGTGGCCCCAGGTAACTCCCTTTGGGCTCCCACTGAGCCCTTGAGAGACAAGTGAACCACTGTGTTGCTGCCAGCAGAAAGTTCTCTAAACAACTTGAGCGTTACAAGTTTTGAAGAAGTTTGCAGCTTTTTCATCCCGTAGTGCCCTAGCGGGTGTTGGCAGCATTTGGGGAAGGTCTTGAAGCGCTGGAAGGCAGCTCAGGTGCCTCTCCACTGCCATGCTGAGTTCTTGGTGGGGCTCTTCTCTAACCAGCTGCGTGCTGAACTGCGTGCGCCTCTGCCTGCGATGTCTGCATGGTGGGAGCAGGCTCCTTCTAGATGAAAAGGTGTAGGGCCATCACTAACCCAATAAATGTTATGCTATAGTAGCAAAGGATAACAAACTTGAGCTTCCTGTAACTGTCTAACACTTATGAACCCTTTGGTACGTCTCTTAACCATTTTTTTCCTTCCTGCTTTTCAGAATCCTAATTGTTCAATGCTTTTTTTTCCCCCCTCTTCCTTTGAAGCCTCCTTCCCTGCCTTTCTCTTATTGTTTTTCTTTGTTTTCGTTCCGTCCTGCCCCCCGCTCCCCTGCTGCCGCAGAGCTGCTCTCTCCTGGTGTGCAGCGCTTGTCCCACCTGCGCACTAGCAGCGTCAGCTCCTCTCACCAAGCCTCCCGCCCCAACTCCCCCTTCCGACACCACCTCATGCCCCCTGCCAAAGGTAAGGAGCCAGGCAGCACCCTGCACAGCCGAGAGCTCTTAGCATCCCGCAGAGCTACTAAGGTGCCTCTCCACGAGGGCCTCGTTGGCTGGCCGTGAAGCTGAGCATGCCTCGAAACGCGCCCTTGCGCTCGCAGCTGTTAGTGTAGACATAATGTCCTTTCTCAGAGGAAATATGTCATTTCTAAGGGCCCTAGCTGAAGAGTCGTTAAGTGATTACCTATCAGAGATACACAGGAAAGCATTTTCATTTGCTGTTTAGAACACAGAGATGCTTAATATAGCTTCTTTCTAAAGCAGTACATGGCAGTCCATGCAACAACTAATGTATCAGATTTAATAAAAATTTCCACATTCTTAAAGCACGAAGTTGAAAATGACCAGAAATATTGCCCAGATGGAATTAAGGTGATCAAAACATACACTTCAAAAAATTATACTGTATAAAGATCAATGACAACAAGAAAACTCATCATTATTAATTGTACTGGCAATAATTAGTGGCCCACAAAATGTAATTGGTAGGCCTCTCCTCAACTCATGAGAAATCAGCACACTGTGCTGAAGACATTAGAGTTGCATGATCTATACTCACTGAGGATCTCATCCTTTCTGTTTTTGTTTTTTTTTCTTAATCTTATTTTTCATGGTTTGGTTTTTGGTGGAGGTTTATTGTTTTCATGCTGCGATCATTCCGAGAGCTCCTTCAGCTCATTAAGCTTTTAGTTCTGTTTCATGCTTTCCGTGAAAGTGAATAGAAGCCTTTGCTTCTATTGGAGCACTCTCTGGCTTTGCCTTCTCTCCCGCTGGGGGAGAAGGTTGTAGTTTATATCACCTACAAGAGCTCAAAAAGAAGCAGTTGAGTGAATTGAGCCAAGTTTCTGTTCTGGAACCATCAATTAATGCAGACAGCACTGGACATTAAAAACAATTGCAAAGAGTCCATGTCATGGACTTTCAAGAAATGCTGATGGATTTCAACATTTTGTCTCTTCAAACACTCAGATCACCATTACTGATTTTAGTCTTGTATTTTACGTGATTATTTTCAATAATATGCACTTTTAACTTTCCTGTTATATCACTTTGAACTTAAAATGAATGGGACCCTTAAAAATAGATACAGTGCTCATTTCAGCATGCGGTTAATCCATAAACTTTGCAATTCAGTGCTTCTTTGCTGTAAATTTAAATTGATGCTCACCTTCTTTCAAGTGGCATTCTCATCCCTCTTCTGTTGAGAAAATAGCTTCTTCAACAGACGTATGAGTAAAGCTCTTTGAAATCCATGCATATTATTTCAGATTTCAGAAGAGCACCTGTTGAGAAGATTAGGTTTGTGGCTCAGTTATCAATACAAGTGGCCAAATAGGATTACAGACACTCTAGTGAAAAGGGTGGGTTTGTATCTTTTCAGGTAGATGCACATAAAACATTGTAAGAATCCACTTTCTGAAAATTTTACATAAAGGTCTTAGGTCTGGACAGAATTCTTTGATATAGTTTCTGCTGTTGTCAAGGCAGGAGCCTTCTCTTTAAAGTATGCATGTTTAACCTGCTCTCAGTAGGTATTAGTCCTTGTGTCTGAAGCTTGAGGGTTAAGTGCTTCCTACTGTCTTAAAACCTGTAACACCCCACACAGGGCAACGTGTTTGAGTGGAAGGGTTGGTAATTGAACTAGTGCATTCCTGCTTCCTACTGTCTTAAAACCTGTAACCTGTAAAAACCCCACACAGGGCAGCATGTTTGAGTGGAAGGGTTGGTAGTTGGACTAGTGCATTTTGAACTAGACAGTTGTATAAATCCTCTCGTTGTTGCAAAGGCAGTATAGCTAGAATAAATTATCCAACACACAAATGATGTTTGTTTTAGATGACACATGTAAAGCGATCTCTGCACACAGGTTATTATTGTCTTAGGTCAAAATGGCCTGAGGTCCTGTGTTATTTGTCCATCATGTAAATGTGGGGGCTCGCAAAACCCAAATGTAAGACAAAGACTCATACTGTTCTGAAGCTCTGCCTTGGCCTGTAAAAAAGGAGATTATGATAGAAGATAATTCTTAATCAAATGTAGTCTAAAAGCACACGTAGTTTGTGTAGGCGTTTATGCACCACCAGTGCACATGCAGTTAAAGAAAGACGTTATAGGGAGAGATTATATAAAAGAGGTTAAATAAACCCTAGCATGTAAGTATATATGTTTGCATAGGAGGAGACAATATAACTTGCCCAGTGTATGATTTCAGGGTTTTGTTTGGTGGTTATTGACATTCAGGTAGTGTTGGGTGAAGTTCAGTTGCACTGTGTCATATCTGCCCTTTACTATTCTGTGTTTGTAAGTGGATACTCTCTTATACACTGATGGGGTCGACCTGAGTATCCCACACAGCTCTTCGGTGTTCTCCATGTGTATCGTGTTTTTTTAATCTATGCAGCAGAGAGGATTGCATCTAAGGACTCCTTGACATTATTATCCATAAGGAGATGCCTTGAGTATTCTTGGTGTTCTTTTTTCTAAGTTTAAAGAACTGCCTTTACCCTTAGAAGTGGTGTTTCTATGCCTTCTGGGGAATTAGACCCTTGTGAATGCCTGATGAGGACTGTAGCCCTGTCTGGAGTTAATTGGATGTGATACATTCGTGCTGAATCAAAGAAAAGGCATCGTGTGATTTCCTTTGTACTTGGTCATCCTCTTTCAGTCACTTGTGCCTTTGGCAAGGGCGTGAACTGTGTGTAAGTTTTTAAGGTAAGGATTTCAGAAAGTCATATTTTTTTTCTTTAGGACTCAGAATGAGGATCGTGCCATAACTGCCTCAGTAGAGGCATGTGATTTCCAAACAGCATGATGATAATGAAAGCAGTGTATGACATATTGCCTCAGTGTATATTATTTTATAACATCAAGCCAGAAAAGTTGATATTTGAGCAAGTTTCAGTGTGTTTACCTAAAGCTCAGTTAAATTATCATAATAATCAAGCCTTGTAGAGAAGGCCAAACTCAAAGACCACCTCTGAGGAGGAAGGGGGCTAAATATTATTAAGAAATGAAATTTCATTCATGTAACATATATGTGTAACTCACTAAAGGGGGTGCAGTATCCATCAACTTAGACTTAGATTGAATTTGGCCCACTGAATTTGAGCTTGTCTCGATTATGTACTGTCTCTAATATGAAAGGGTGAAAACAAGTCTGTGAATGAAAGAAACTCTGACCCTAATGAACTCAGAGACAAAGCTCTCATTTAAAGCCAGAATTTCATGTCACGTGCTTACATTTTTTCAGAGGCATTCAAAAATATTGAAAAGACCCCATAAGATTTCTGAGTAAAAAGAGCTCTGAGTTAAGAGGCATTTCTCTGCTCACAGACATTTCCATAATGAATCTGCCCACTTTCAAAGTGAATTTGAGCTTGGTTTTCACAGATTCCTGTTTTGCTTGCATAATTTTCCCTCAGGCAGGTCTCTGAAATCCAGTGCTCTGTGTGTGTGATAACTAATTCCAGGGTTTTGCAGATGCAGCTGAGGACTCTGCTCTGGAAAACAGCCACACTTCGGCTGTTTTAGGGCTTTTTGTTCTGTGCAGAAAATATGGGCTGTGGATCTGGGCAAGTTGATGAATGGCGACTTGATAAAACCTAAAGGGGCCTTAGGCTTTCCAAGTGCTGCTGAGCTCGCTTCTCTCTGTTGATTCAGAAGTGGAGCGACTAAGGCACAAGTTGACAGCAGGCTCAGTTTTGGTTGTATACTGTGTTTTTGGCCTGTGTTGCAGATAGTTAGGATCCGGCGGCCGGAAGATATCGTGCTGTACGGAAAGATAGGGCCCCTAATAGCCAATAGTGTTAGTTTATAATGTAAGCAGACGGATGTGACGTTGTAAACGTAGCTATATAACACCTTGTTACCCATCAATAAACGCCATTTGCTGTCCACCGCATTGGTGTCAGCGAGCTGATGGTCCGAGCGGCTTGGGGGTGGTCGCCGTGCCGTCCCTGAACCAGGTCATTTGAACTGCAACAGGCCTGACTCTGTAAATTGAGCTTGTGAATCACAAGTTGGTCCAGTGATGACTTCAGAAAGCAATAAGAACCAAAATAGAGCATATATCTGGTTTAGGTCAATTTCGATCTATATCCACTATTTAGTGGAGCCGTCCTTCATAAGGACCTTCAGTAGAAGTGGTAGAAAATGGGAAGTTTGTCACAAATTTCCTTCACTTTTTAAATTTTAGTGTCATGCAGCTGACAGCTGCTCCCCGAGGGAAGGGAGCCAGCAGCCAGATGGGATAGCATGGCTGGCAGGGCAGGAATCAGTCCCACAGCCTGAGCGAGCTGACCAGGCCCAGGGATGGCTGCCAGGTTCACCCAGGAGTCCCCCTCCCCAGACACATCTGTGGTGAAAAGGCAGGCTCCAAGTTAAGCTGGAAGGACATTGGCAAGTCAGGGTTAGGACCAGATCTGGTGATGCTGACCCAGGCCAGCGATGGTCACTCACATCCATGTCAATGAAGCAGGTCAAGCCAGGAAGTCAGGCCGCACATGGGGGTCCGCATAGACAAGGCTGGTAGCCAGGCAGAGGCTGTGAGACAGCCAGAGCTGCGCAGGGCCCAGCAATAGCACCCTGGGTTAAAAGCAGCTCCCAGGGGAAAGGGGACAGGGTGGCCTTGTTGAGGCCCCTCACTTAGCTTGGAGCTAAAGCAGCAGAAGTGGCAGGGGGGCTGCTCTCAGGACCCTTGCATTGCATTTGATTCCAGATTGGTTCCCTACTAGGGTCCCTCATCCTGGAGAAGAAAAGGATCAAATCTAAAGTTAGTCTGGACACTTGCTTAGACAGTACTGTGCCTGTGTCAAGCCTAAAAATGCAGATGGTGTCATCTGTGAGACCCAGTGTATAGGGCAGAAAATACTGCTGTCATTTCAGTAACAGCTGTCATTGCACACACCTTTTCCATTCTTCTTATAACAGCAGCAGTAGTTAACCAAAATGTTTAGGGCTCTTCAGCTTTCTGGCCTAGCAGCTTCTCCTGTTTTCAGTTGTACCAGCCCCATATGATCTGAGATCCATCTGAGTTCAATTTCCCTGGGCTTCCGAGAGACCCTGAACTGTCCCTTTTGGCTTTACCGCTGTGCTAACGTGAGGGACTCACAACTGCCAGCGTTCTTCTGGACCTTTAGACACAGTCTACAGTCCAGCAAATGCCAGTCAAACCTGTGTTACTTATTAGAGATCATTTTAGACTCAAGGCAGTGCCAGTTTCGAACAAAATCAAAAAAAAAAAATTCTAAGCAAACTCTAGAATGATGTTCCTAATATGCTCATAAAAACTGCTGTAACTGAAACCTTAAAACTGTTCAAGATAAAGCTGTACAGCCGCTCTTAGCAAAGTTGAGACTTACTTATTTTTTTAACTAAAAAATGAATATTTGGATGAACTGAAACTTTATAGCAGTTCCTCACAGATTTTATAGATTTGTTTCCGTAAAATAAATACAAAAAGAAAAAAAAAGATTTAGAAAGATATTTGGTATTTTAGAAAGAAAACATTTTAGTTTTCTGGTAAAACTTCATCTGGTAAAAGAGGAAGAGTGTGCAGAGTGTTTTCTCCCCCCCGGCTCACCAAGAGTATACAAATAAGCAACGTGCCAAATCAGGGGTTTGAGACCCTCTATTGGGACGCAGGAAATCTGCAGCTGAAAGAATTACAGCTTCAGATCCTTTTCTGTTGTGTTTTACAGCCCTCTTGTACTTGTCTCCTACTTTTTTTCTTGCTTTGTTAATAAGTTCTGCTAAATATCTGCAAAATTGGAGGGTTTGATGCCCCCTTTCATCCCTTCATCTTTGTGGTCACTTACACCCATGCAAAATGAGAATTTAGGTAGACTACTTCTGCCTGTGACAGTTTGCACTAGTTTGAAGAACGGCGCAAAGTAAAAGATAATGTCATTTCTTTATGGTATATATATAGTCCTGTGTTATACAATACAGCTTTTGTCTTGATGCTTGTGATCAACCAGTATGGTTCTGTAAAAGCCCTCTGGCCCTGGCAGCCAGAGGATCTTTCAAGGCTGTTGGATTAGTATGGCTGGATAGTAGGATGCAAAGAAATAGTTCTGATAAGATAAGAATAATCTTATAAATAGATTTTTTTTAGACATTAGATCTAGGTTTTCTGAATCGAGCAAACAGAGCAAAATTTGGCATTGAGTGATTTGTGGTGGCACCAATGATTTTGGTGCTGCAATCAGGTGAGCTTCATTTCTTTACAAATTATTTTGCTGTGAAATATCAAAAATTTACTATCAAAGATTTAAACCAATGATAGAGTGTGTAGGTTTTTTTTTTGATATGGGCCAAGTGACCTAACTGCTATTTTCCATCTCTAGCTTCTGTGATCTTTTGGTTTAGGGTACTGTAGTAGCTGCCAACATCTGCTTCTACCTGCTTGGAAGTTGGTTTTGTTTTGAGTTTGCATATGAATTACTATGCTCCATGCCTGTGCCTTTTCCCTCCAAATGTCAGTCTCCACACTAAATTCATGCCGAGTAACCTTCCATTCCTCTCTTCCACCCTGCCCATCTAACCCCAGCTGCATGCGTCAGAATGAGCGGGAGCCGCTAAGACTCGACTCCGGTCTAAACACGAAGCTTTGTCTCTGCAGGAATGTCAGAAAGCAAAGTCAGCAGGGCGACCAGATCTTGTTATTGCTTGCACTTATGTTTTTGGTTCAAGCTTCTTTCCTCCCTGGAGGTTTTGATTCCACTGATTTTTGGTTGGGTTTGATTGGGCTTGCTTTTTTCTTTTTCTTTTTTTATTGCTCTCCCTCTTCTCATTTTGTTTTCTCCATTCTTTCATTGGAGGCAATGAGCCGTCCAGCGGTCGGAACTCCCCTGTCCCCTATCGGCCAGACAGCCGCCCTCTCACTCCAACTTACGCTCAGGCCCCTAAACATTTCCATGTTCCAGGTAGGAGCTGGCACTGTCTGTGTCTCGGTGTCCTGTCACGGTGTAGAATGTAGACTATGTAACTTCTGTCTTGTCTCCATGTTTCACGCTGTTTGCCGCGGGGTGCACACACAATGCTGGGAACTGCCTGCTCCTGAGCTTGCTGAGAGGAGGATTGTGTTACGTTTTGGGGATGCATCATAGTTTTTTACCTTACTCTGTCAATTGAGTGTTTAACTCTTAGAATATCGTGTTAATAGGGTCTATTAACAGACTGTGAGCTGGATGGGAATTAGGCAGGCATTCTTGTCCCAGTTGCACCAGTGTAACTGTGCTACCTTTGGAGGAATTGGTTTTGAAAGTGGCATGCAGGAGAAATCTCCCTGGTGAGCAGTTACACAGACAGTTCAGTGCCTGTCCTGTCATGGCCTGCTTCAGTTTTGAAGCAAACAGTTCTAGGTTAGTGTTGTTTAACTGAGTGTGGACTTTGCTGTACTTGCTTTGTACATTGGCTCGATGTCCCTAGAGAGACCTGCAGATCTGCAAGAATATACGTGAATCTGGATGTTCTCTCTACGAAGGGCAATCTGTTCTGAAGTCAGCTGCACAACTTCTCCAGTCTGTGAGATCCCCATTTTGTCTTTCATTTTGATTGGAAGAGGGGTAGGTATCCCTCAGGCTGTGGACGTGCATCTTCTGTCTGCATCGGTGCTGGCCGAAAGCTTTAGTATATCCCGTTATTGCCCAAGCCACCTTCAGTCAGCACCCTTCACCTGCCAGAGGTTACTCCTCCTCCTCCTCCTTCCCTCAAATCTTTCAGATGAACGGTTGGTGTGAACTCTCCCTTTACATCAGTATGAGCTGGCTTGGCTAAGGCAGGTTACTCCAGCTGCCTATGCTAACATGGCTCACGTTGGCTGCGTAAATTCAGATGCCCTTGCACAAATAGCTCTGCTGAGCACAAACCCCGTTTTGGTGGGAATTGAGATCCTTGAGATTGGTTGGTGGGACAGGAGTCCTCTTCAGCTGGCACCATGCAGCCGCAGAAGGAGCCGTGTTCCAGCTTTCTGGCTTGGGCATGCACAAAAATACTGCTACCTTTGTAGTGTTCACACCTATTTGCTATTCAGGAAGGCACAATAGATCAGTAATGAGAAGGAAATACTGCGGTGTCTTTGTGTGCAATGAATTTGCCTATTGAGGCAGGGATACAAGATTCTGTGGAGTAAGATTTGCCTCTATTTCCATAGATTTTTAGGTTTACTTTTTCTTAAAGTCAAAGGTGAAGTTGTCTCCTATAGTATTTGGATCTGAGATATATACCATGCATTTAATTTTTTTTTTATTTTTTTGCTACTATAATTTACAAAAATATTTAGGAGTGTGAAGTAGCAAAATTGATTTCTGACATACATTTTCCAATTTCTGGAAACATGACTTAAAATAGGATTTTGAGTTTGATTTTACACTGCAGTACCAGTTTTGGATTAACTGCTGTTATTCTTAGCTGTACAAAATATGTGAATTGTTGTGAGTTGTATTTTAGATCAGCTTCCTCTCGGACATCATTCTTTTGGAAAATACTAGATCTTTTAGGCATGAAATAGATTTACTGTGCTGGAGTTCTGGGAAGTGTTTTTATTCTAATTTACATTAATAGTGGGCAAGTATCTAAATGAAAAATATTATAAAGAAAAGATTTGCCCTAGTGGTTTGGGAATTAGCATTATATCAGTTAACATCAGGTAGAGCATCCCTTTGACTTGGCGAAGTCTACCTGCTATTGACTGTTTGAAATAGCGTATTAGACACTTGATTTATTCTCTGGGTTTTAAAGTGAATTCTAGGCTCTTTGCATTCTCCTCAACTCAGTGCAACCAGCCAGCTGGAAAGGAAATTGAGCTCTTACAAATGAAGCACAATTTCCTCTCTGAAATTATTTGGGGTAGTTTTCCCCAAATTGCTTGTATCTTCAACATTGAAATGTCTTGTTTGTTTGCATTTCCACTCTTTTATCCAAGTAACAGTCTTCTGAAAATTTAAAATAGATTGTTCATGACTTAGATGCATCCACATGTTACAGCATAATCTCTGAAGGGCTTCATGTCACATCTTTGACTGTTTCACCTGTTCTTACATTATCTTTTCATAAAATAAACTGGTTCTGTGTAAAACTAGGATTAGTTTTCTGGCTTTTCCTTGTGCTACATCTTTGATTTGGTCTGTCTATTGTTTCAGTGTTGGAGTTATCTCTTTCTATAGCTGAAGTAGTTCCCGTATTCACATTTTTCTTACCACTTAATTTCACAGATCAAGGCATCAACATTTACAGAAAACCACCAATCTACAAACAGCACGGTAAATGATCTGTTTATATTTCCAAGTCAGAGTGTCAACTAAACTAAGTTATACAAATCAGTGAAAAACACTCGAAATTTAATGTATGAGTATTAAAAATGAGAAATCTGAACTTTAAACAAGTTTTATTGCAATTTCTGCTGAGTGATTGTGTTTTAAAGCCTGTTGTTTGATTTGTGTAATACAGTTTAAACATTGGCTATGTTAATGTTAATAGCAAAATTGCCACTAACTGGGATTTTACTCTCTCTTTAGCATTGCAATGCCTTTCTGTATTTCACTTCTTTAAGTTTATATTTTCGAAGTACAGGTATTCATCGTGGTAAAATGGATTAGCAACAGCCCATTCTCTGACAGGAACTTCTTGGAAAATCTTTATTTTAGACAAAAAATAAATGTACAATTCTTTATCTCATCAGCAAAGGTGGACATGTTATCATCAGACTGGAATATCAAATGTTTCTGTGCTTTAACTAAGAATCTTCAGTTTACTGAAGATAATAGAGGTTGCTTCCTGCTGGCAGGGCTAATTTGCCTGTCAAGCCCTTTAAACCAGCTCAGGTAGAGTACACTGTTTTCCTGGTGTTTAGATTAGAGCTGAAAAATAGTGTCTCTTCTCCAGAAAGTTCAGAGCAGTCGTCGTTTTAGCAAGCCTGAAATAACCAAGCCCTAGCAGTCTTTCATACTGCTGAACAAGTATTATAAATATAAGGCCAATATAAATGGCCTTATATTCTGTCTTCCATTCTCTCTTCAAATGGGAGAAGATTTGTGTGCAGTCTGCTAAAAAACAGATGCATCTGCTCTCTAAATATTTTGAGACTCTTTTTTCCAGTGAAAATTATTTATGTTTAAGTAGCGACTGAGTGGTGCTGTGCGTTTTAGATGAACCACTGGCCAAAAGTCTATGGATAGAAATGATTAAGAAATACAGGGAAATAAATCCTCTCCGTAGATGGGAGTGAGCATCCAAAGAACACTGTTGTGCTTTTACATCTTTTTTTGTTTTGTTTTGTTTTGTTTTTTCCTTTTTAAGTTTTGAAACTGTATGCCCATTGTAGAAAGTCTTAACATTATTTGTGTTTATTTTTATGGTTTTAATGTATCTCCTCACATCCCATTAACATGTGAATGTTTAACCACTGACATCACCAATTTTAATATGTAAGTACTGTTTGAAGTCATGCTTTTTAAACTCTGATTAGTTTCTTACATGCTTTTAATTATAGAGTTTCCCAATCTTAAAATTCCCAGAATTCCCAATGACATCTAATACTGGTCCTTTTATACTACCTTGAATAGATTTACATGTTAAAAAGGAATCTTTTATTGAGAACTAGCTCCTTTTGCTTCTGTGTTCTGCATTACTGCCTTAATGGATGTTTTTTTTTATTAAAAATAAATAAAAAGGAAAAAAAATATATCCTTGTATTACTTAAGGTAGCTTGGACAAGTAGTTTACAGATAGAAGTTAATTAAGAGAATTTTTGTTACAAACTGAATTCATTTGGATTTTTTTTGTATGTCAAGAATTGAAAGCCAGAGTGCACACACATGGTTTTAAGAGATGGTGGGTCTAGAGCCTTAAATATGTGGCACACTGTTGAGCCGTTTTATTGGTGAGGCTCATTTCGCTGGAAATGCCTTTCCTTGCTGAGGTGATCTGAAAGGAGTTTGGTATTTACTAATAAATTCACATCTACTTTTATTACTGCATGTTAATTACAAAATATGCAAGTAGAAACATTGCAGTGGTTAAATAAATGTAGCTATTTGCTTCAGGCTTACTTTTTTGTTTTTGTTTTACAGCTTTTCACAGAAGCACAGGAAATAGTTAGCGTTAGTGAAGTTAGTGCTCTCCCTCTGAACTCCTGCTTCCTTGTCCTGGAGGGAGGACAAACCAGCACATCAGAGCACTTTATTAATAGTCAAATGTCTTCAAAAGATATTGGCACACATAGTTAGCTTGAAATTTCTCACTCTTGCTTAATCATTCTAACGATGTAAAACCCTAGTAAAATTTGAGCTTACTTTGAGGGTTGGGGTGAGGGAAGGGAGGAAGGTTTAATCACAAGATATTAGCAGGAGGAAGGTGTTTCTTTGCTTCAAATTGCTGTTAAAAAGGCAAAACATGTTTGCTTTTGAAAATAGACCTCTTGTAAAGCATAATTTTTTGCCAATAATAAGGAAAACCTTAACATTGATACCGATTATTACATAGCTAAGTTCCCTGATTGCCATCTAGATGCAGCTGCTTTGGCAGCACAGAGCAAGTCTTCTGAGGATATCATCAAGTCCTCCAAGTTTCCAGCAGCCCATGCACCTGCACCCAACGAGATACCAAAGATTGAGACGGACCACTGGCCAGGTCCTCCCTCCCTTGCAGCCATAGGTATGCAAAAGAAACATGGTACAAGTGATGCGGACTGAAAGGTACTGGTAACCAAAGTAGATTAATACTGAATCTGTAAGATCCATCAGCCAGGACTGTGTCCACCCACAACTTCACCATGAAGTTTAGTCCTTATGGTGAAATGCCTGGGTGTCCGTATATTTGTCCGTAACTGTGGAACAGGGCTAAGTAGAAGACTTTTTGCCAAAGTGCATTAGAATTGTTCACACAGATACTAACCTGCAGACAAATTGTATGAGCTCCCATGAAGTAGTTTACAAAGAGTATGATGCGTAATGCAAGCCTGACTTCTTTCAGTTATTGTTTATATAGTACTTTAGTCCTGAACTAATATTAAATATTCAGTTAGAAATGGCATTACTTCTGGCCATGGATATATCTGTGGCAAGGACCAATGACTGCAGCGAACCAGTTAATAGGATAAAAAAGTCATGTTTTTTCAGAATCACTGTTTCTGCATACTATATTTTTTTTCTGTGTTGTTGCACTGTGTGTATCCTATTTTGTTTCTTTAAATCACATACACAATCATTTCTTAACTTTTTTTTTTGGCACTTTATTTGTCTTCTCTGTTGATTTTGTTGACCCCAAGTAAAATATAGGATAAACTGTCTGCCCTGGGTCATTCACAAAATCACCGCAGAAACACTGAAAATTTTGCCTGTTTCAAATTTCTGTGTAGGAGTTTATGGCTTTCCTTGCATTGGGTTTTTCATGGAGGAACTGGAAGACGAGGCCCAAGGTGACAGACCTCAGTAGTTTGTGTTGACATGACCAAAGGCTGTCAACGGTGGGGACTTCCAGGATTCTAGAAATTGTCATTTATGTAGCTTTGGAACCTCAGAAATCTTACAGTCATTTTGATAACATACAGATATTTAAAAGCAACAGTGTCTGTGGTAGCTGCAGCATTGTTGTGTTGTTGAGGTAGAGGCTTCGTTAAAACATTGGTTGTCAGCACAGCCTCTAGGCAATGGATGGCAACTTTGGATTAATTCCAGTAAAAGTTCTTTGAAAATTGGCTCTCAGGTGATTTTTTTACACCTGAGAAACTAAACTGCACTGTTTGGAAACTGTACAGGTAAAAATGTTTTTCTGGCCATTCTGCATTGGGAAACAAAAAGACACTGTACAAGATGAATCACTAAAATGCAAACCTTCAAGCCCTAGGTTTTTAGGTTGGTTATCCAGTTGAGTCTGATACTTCACACACGGAGCTAAGCTGAGCTCAGCTATCAAAAAGGAGTATTCCTACTGTTGTACAGAAAAGTTTTGCAAAAACCTGAGACACCAAACAAAATAATATGTAATATAATTACAGAGATCTAGTTTCTCTGTACCTTTTTTATCTTTCCTTGTATTAGCAAACCTTCTGATAATTTAGTGGCAAATTTTAGTGTTCAACAAAAGTTTGTTTTGTAGCTACCTTAGGGTATACCCTCTGAAGAAGGAATGTGTGTAGTGTCTAATGGCCTTCAGCAATAGCATGGTCTATGTGTTCGTTGAAATGTCCTGGTGTCTTAGACCATTTCTCATAAATGTTCAAGAAAATAAAAATTAATAAAAAGTGAGAAACTAAAATTTAGAACACTTGTTAAAAAGTAAAGTGGTCTTAATTCATTTTAGCTTTATCCAAAAGACAAATTAGTTTGCTCCATTTTAGACTAGAAATAAGGCCATATTCATTTAAAATAGGGGCATTTAGGGAAGTAAGGTCATTTTGTTTTCCACTTAAAATGTTAATTCAGATTTGCTTTTCTGGGACTGGATGAAAGTATAAATGTAAGTCAGACCTTATTTTTTTCAACCATTGGTACATGCATCAATATCCTTAAACACAGTATGTGGCTGGTTAACCAAACTCCTTTTCTCTATTAAGCTGATGGGTAGCGTTTGTATCTCAGACTTTTGCTTGGCTGGGGACCAATGTACAGCTTAACTTTTTGTTAGTATTAGTAGAAGCCCAACAATAGTAGGGCAAAGTATGGGTGACCTCTTTTAGGGGTGAGTCTTGAAAAAGGCTTTTGAGTCTGCAAGAAAATAACTGCTTGCTTTATTCAGTAAAGCAAACTGACCAGTACCTTGAACTAGTACTGAAGTTTTCAAGAACTGATATACAGTGGTAGAACTGATGTAAAAACTCTTTGCATATTGTGGTTTTATGGAAGCAGGAGCTGACATGAGGCGGAGATCAAGTGGAAGAGAGGAAGAAGATGAAGAACTACAGAGGCGCCGGCAGCTGCAGGAGGAACAGCTTATGAAGGTCATTATAACCTCACTGTGCTACTGTTTATGAACACCAGCCAAAAAGGGCCCTTTTTTCCCATAAGCAATTTATATTAATACCTTAATCAGCTTTATTTTATCACAGTATTTTTAATTGCCATTTATAGCTCAACTCTGGTCTGGGACAATTGATACTGAAAGAAGAGATGGAAAAGGAGCTTCGTGATAGGTCAGCCCTTTCTGCCAGTCGTTACGATTCTCCAGGTAATTCACGGAGGCAACAGACCTAAGAATGAACCATGGCTATTTCTAACAGACCATCTGAAATGTGTGTGTATATATTGCTCTCCCCTAAAAAGCATGGCCTAACCCATTAGCTGGTTATGAGATGGAGAGCAGGGTGATTTTTTTTTTTTTTTAAATTGGAAGAAATATGAGGCTTAAGATTTTGAGGAAATCTCTGGGAGATAAATTTTCTAATACAGAAAAAGAGGGAAGTCAAATATAGCAAAATATAGCAGTGACTGTTGCATTGTGCATGTGCTAATACGTTCACAGGAACAGAGATATCTTATAAACTGTGTGGACCATTAAGGAGAGGGGCTCCCTCTCCTTTAGTTGCTTATGTATATGGTTAGCAATTCTAATTGTGTTTTAATGCTAGCTGATTCCTCAAATGTTCTTGTTTTTGAGTTTCTTTGGGATTTTTTTTTCCAATAAAAGATTTTTCTCTTCCCCATTCAACAGCACATGGTTCAGCTTCCAAGACCTCTTCTCTTCCTGGCTATGGAAGAAATGGGCTTCACAGGGTAAGAAGATAGCAATTTCGAGAAGCAGAAGGTGTCTTTAATTGTCTGTGATATTTATTTCCCTGCTCAGTGTATTGAATATCCAGTTTGATCAAGCTCACTTACCAAATCATCTGAAGTCAGACAAAATCTAGATTCCTTTCGCACAAACCACATTATTAAAAGTGCAAGAAAGCCTATGAAAAATGGGGGGAAAAAGCTTAAAGCAATTCGTTGCTCTCAAAACACCAAACCCATTTCTGAAATCAGAATTTTCGTTTCTGAAATCTGTGAATTTATGTGTGTGTCCCCTTTACTGTTACAGCCGGTGTCTACAGATTTTGGTCAGTACAACAGTTATGGCGATGTGAGTGGTGGAGTTAGAGGTAAGGCTGAGGAGCGTTTTTAACATGCTGCTTTATTACAGAGTATGTTCATATGATTGAACAGGCTGCCCAGAGAGGTTGTGGAGTCTCCTTCTCTGGAGATCTTCAAAACCCACTTGGACGCAGTCCTGTGCCACGTGCTCTGGGTGACCCTGCGTGTGCAGGGGGGTTGGACTAGATGACCTCTAGAGGTCCCTTCCAACCTTAAGCATTCTATGACTCTATGATTCTATGATTGATCATATCAGCTGTTCTTTTTTAAAGTCATGGATATGTTTGCTGTGAATTTGCTCAGTATGTTTTAACTTAATCTGGTAAATTTGACCGTTAACTAGAACTCCGCAATTACACATTAAAAAGTTTATAGTTTATGTGCTTTATAGAGCTGGTGTTTGTTTATGCCAAGAGTCTACTTTAGCACTGGTGCAAAGAGAAAGCAGGTAATCCTTAGCTAATTAGGAATATTGTTCAGAGTTCTGCTTATGGTGTTTTCTTTCCTTGAAAATTATCAATTGCTGCACAGTGTGGAAGAATGAGCTACAGTGAAGAATGGAGGATAATCCCAGCACTGCTTATGATTTGCTTTGTGACTTGGAGCTGATCTGATACCAGTCCCTGCCCTATTTTTCCCTTCTGTAACAGACTGAAAATTAATATTTATCAAAGTTGTAAAACTTTGTGTCAGTTAACGCTTTGAAATGGTTTTGAGCTCATAAAGACAAGAGAGAGACCAATTACCTCAAAATGGAAACTGACCCCTTCTGTCTTAGAAACCCTAAAATCCAACATCTTTTGTTCATGCTTCTTTTGATTTGTAGACTGTGGAGGAAGCCTAGACTGCTACCTGATGGCAGAGCTAGATGAGGTTGATTAACTTGTTATTTACCTGAGGGTGGATTTGTATGTCTTAGTATCTCCAAAGTGACTTTTTTTTTTTTTTTTGGATGAGTAGCCTTATTTAAAGGCAAAGAACTGCAGTGTTGGGAGAGTTTCGCTGTTAAGATTAAAAGTAGGTCGGCTCACTGGCTTTAGAGACTCAGGTGAGATTTTGAAATGATAGACTAGAAGACACAAGGATTCTCTGGTTGATAGTGACCAATTCTTGTTATTCCACACTCTAAACCTGATGAGATTTCTCTTTTGCTTTTCAGACTTCCAGGTAGAGTACGGGTTTTCTTCAATCAACTGACAACAGAACTAAAAGCATCTACTTTCTTACTGAAGTCTGAATTTCTGCTACAGGGAAGGGTTTCTTAAGACCTTAGTTCTGATTTATCTGCATGTTTAAGAATAAGCAATGATGTAGACTCTTACCAACAAAAAGCAGGTGTAGCCTCAGATTCCTCCTTGTACCTCCCTAGAGCTGAAGTGCAAAGGCTCATACTCCAGTTCTGTGACTTCCTCTGTACAATCCACTGTCTGTTGAACACCTAAGTTACCTGTAACAGTTCACTCTGGACAGCTAAGGGTGGAACAGGCTGCCCAGAGAGGTCATGGAGTCTCCTTCTCTGGAGATCTTCCAAACCCGCCTGGATGCTACCCTGTGCCAGGTTCTCTGGATGTCCCTCCTGGAGCAGGGGGGTTGGACAAGATGATCTCTAGAGGTCCCTTCCAACCTCAACCATTCTGGGATTCTGTGTGAGTCTGTGATTCCAAACGCTCTAGGACTAACCCCAGACTCATACAGAAACATTCTTCTAGAGGAATATTTTATTTTCCATACCAGCAGCCCTGAACTCCTTGTATTTTCTTGGAATTTGCCCTCTAGAAAAAGATGGCTGATCAGTAGGTTTCTGAAATGCTGCCATCACTATTTCCAAGCCTTTTCCCCCAAATCCTGACGCCAGAATTTTTTTCCAGAGTAGTCTTGAGTCTTGATGGCCTCTCAACACAGACAAAAAATGAGCTGACATCATAAGAAAGGATTTAAATACTTGAATATATTTGCTGTATCAAAACTGTAATGGTTGGGAAAAGAATGATAAGACTGTGGGAGGAGAGAGCGGGGTGTCCATGTATTACTATCAAAATATTGTTCTGTTGGGAATAGTACCTGTGTCAAAATAGCAACTTGTAACCAGAGAGTCACCTCTCTTTGGGTTCATAGTCGAAATTGGCCATTGTAGAGAGAAAAAGAAGCCTGGCTGAGAGGGCCTTGGCAATTCGAAGTGGCAGGAAGTTCAAGCAGAGGCCTAGCAGCACCTCGTATGTGGGTTCGGTGGGGTCTGAAATGAAGCCCCTGTGTATTTGTCGAGAGAAGAACTCTACCTAGTTACTAGAGCAGGAAGGGACCTACCACTCCCTGCAGATCTTCTCATTCACTTGGGAAGTGTTTTAGTGAGCTCTTCTGAGAGCTATAGCCAGCCTTAGCAGTGAGCAGCAGCCTGTGGTGGCAAAGGAGGGGGTGGAGGGATTTTACAGCCTGGAAAAGAGCTAAGCAGCAGCCATGGCCATGTCCTATATGACGGCTAAACCTTAAGACCCAAAAGAGCTCTCAGTGTAAATTCACCTTTGTTTTCACCACTGCTCGAGTGCCTTTACCCTGTGTGTGTGTAACCCACGTCTCTGATGTGTACCTGTATCCGATGCAGTCCCTCCCGGATGGTCATGTCCCTGGAATGAGAATGGACAGAGGAGTTTCTATGCCTAACATGTTGGAGCCAAAGGCAAGTGCAGATGTTATTCACTTTACTTAAGGCAGTGAAGATTTTAATGTGAAATGCAGGTGGAATATGGGAAAATTCCTTCTTCCCTTGTTTTTCTTTACCTCACCCCAATCCCTGCTCCTTGTGTGCCAAACCTCTGCTTGTGCTCTGATGAAGGTGTTAGTGCTTAGGCAGGCTGAGAGCAACCAAAGTGTGCAGTATTGAGGTCTTCCCAGAGAGAAAATGAAGACACTGAACATGTTTGATAGCTACTCCTTCTGTTACTCCTTCAATGGCCAAAATTACAGACAAAACTCAATGGGAGAGTCTCAGCTTTGTAAAGTCTGAAAAGTGATGCTGAATATTGTAGCTCACAACATGCCACTGAAAGTGGAAAATGTGGATCTCTGTCCCAGAGAGGCATCTGTGTATTTTTCTGAATCTAGTCTTCATCTCTTAGTGTTATCTTGACATTTTCCAACAGTGTCAAATTCCTCATATAAGAAAATTTTAGGATATTTGTTGAAAAGAGTCGATGTTGGCTGAATATGAGTTAGGATATAAATTAAGATGCTTTCACAGCTATCTTCAGAGATGTCTGGATCAAAAATTGCAGTAATATACAGAGGGGCTCAACTAGAGCTGTTTTAAATCTTGTGATTTTCTCTACTGCTAGTGAAACTTCCAAGAAATCATGATTTTTGCTAAAATTATAAGGATCAACATTTCTGCCAGTAAAGTGAGCAGCTCTTTTGGCAAACCAGATGACTACTTGTGCTTCCGAGTCACCTCCAGGCAAACTGTGCAAGGCAATAATCATAGCTTTATAAGCTGAGACCCCAATGCAATGTACATTAATGAGTGTTCGTATATATTATGTACATATAACCTTGGGGACATCCCCAACTCCTGAGATACTGTTTTTTATTCCAAATAATTCCTCTCTCAGTTCAATAGAAATTCTTACAGCCACCACTGCTGTTGATATAGCCAATCATTTGGAGTGTTATTTTGGGTGACAAATTCTGTCTTGTTATTAGTAATAAAATGTATTTTTTTTTGTGGGGCAGTGGGTTGCTCTTCCATTGATATTTCAAAGATTATGCCTTAAGAAGTTTTGTTGTATGAATTAACAGTAGTTCTGTTCCTTTCAATGGTACAGGACCAACTTGAACCTGCTAAGGTGAAAAAAAGTTAATTCAAAGTCAGTACAAAAGAGCTGAGAAATGAAAATCGGTAAACCTTAGCATGATCAAAACTTACAAAATGGTGTTACAGAAGGACAGAATTTGTGCATCCTGACAGCCCAAAGTGACCAATGCTTTGTTCTGAATACCTAAACAAAAATGTACTATGACCTCAGACCTTGACTTAAACTCTGCCTGTTTAAATATTATGAAAAATTACCTTTTAGTTTACTGTGATGCTGTCTATGGTAGCCATTTTCAGTATAGAACATAAGCATTGTAATTCAAAGTATAGACTCCATTGTACCATTGTGAGAATGTCAAAATCTACTAAGAATCCTATCTTACAATTGGTATGTAAGCACACGTTTACACTATTATTACTTACAATAAACTCAGTGGTATGTTCATTGATGCCTGAATCTTATTTGTTATATTTCTGAAAAGTTCATTGGTGGCAATGGCATAAACTTAATTGCCCAGTAGGACACTAAAGCTGATTAGGTGGAATTTCTTCTGTTAGCATGGCAATGGATTCAGTAGCATTTGTTGATCACTCAGGTGCCCCTTCTGAAAAGTTTTGGCCCAGTGGCCAAAGTACTTGGCTACTTTCCCAGTGTGCAAGTATCTGAATCAGTAGAACAAGACTGAACAAGAACAAGTCCCACTGAAGGCTGTGGAAAGACTTTCATTGACTTCAGAGAGGGTTAAATGAGAACCTCACTGAAAATGCCCTTGTCCTGCTCTGCAAGGAAATAAGAACTGATTAGAACTATAGGGAGGCTCTGTCAGATGGGACGTAAACTCCTGAGGTTTCATCGATATCTGGTCCTGAGGAAAAAGGCTAAAACAGAGAATTTTATCTCTGAGATAAAATATCTGAGAGACCCACAGACAATAAACATCGTACCTCAAACAAAGAAATTGTATGAGTAGATGAAAACTGAATCTTTTATGCTTTCACAAATTATTTATTAACCAATAATGGATTTTGTGTAAATTACGGCCACTCTTTGCAATATAAAGGGAAAGTTATTGGGAGAGGTGCAAGGTGGATGCTGAAGCAGATGACAAGTAAGATAAATATGTTTACTAAAAGTTCTTCTCTAAGCCTTCTGTGTATGTCACAGCCAGCAAACACAGTGGGAGTTTGTTGAAGTTCTCTAACTGTCCAAAAAGGCAAGGAAAATAATCTGATTAATTCAATTCAATGCAGTGGCCCCACTGATGAATATCTTGCTTGTTCAGAGCTGCTGCTGTTTCTGTTGTACTAAGATGTGGTACTTTCATGTACTACTTTTTAAAGTCCTCTAAGCATCTGCTTTCTTAGAGCTACCCATTTTTTGGCAGCCATCAATCGGATCCACAAGTGCCAAAGATATTTACCTTACTAAACTCTAAATTCACCCATCCATGGATGAGAAAGTTGATGGGAACTCTGTCTGATCAAAGGCAGCCTGTGCATCTTGCACGCTGTAATAATCAGTAGAGTGGACAAGCACACAGTGACTCTACAAGGCAGTTTGGTATTGGTATAAAACAAGTTTTTGTGCTATCCAGATGGGCTTCTCTTTCCTGCAACATTGAAAAAAAAAAGAAAAGAAAAAAAGATTTCCTTTGAAAAAGAAATCAAATGTTTCTGTGGTTATGAAAATAAGACACATGTACTTTCTGCTTTAGAGTGTAAATACATCTTTTTTTCCCCCTTTTATACATTGTTAACAGATTTTTCCATATGAAATGCTCATGGTGACCAACAGAGGGCGAAATAAAATACTAAAAGATGTAGACAGAACCAGGCTTGAGGTAAGAAAAGCAAGTTCCTAAATGCTCTTTCCTACTGAAGATGTTTGTTTTTGCACACTTGAAAGCTCAAACACTGAAGCGTGGGTCCTTGTTAGACTGGGAGGATTTCTCAACATGAGACAGAGAAGCAGGAGTGGGACAGCAGGAGGAAGCAGCAGCTTCTCCACGAGCAGTTCCAGGCCTGGGGCTCCGTATCCCTGCCTAGCAGTGCATGGGGCTCCCTGCTCCTGCACAGAGCTGCTCAGAAGTCCCTTAAGTTGTCAAGCAATTGCTAGGAGCCAGTACCAGCTATTCCTGCAGAGCTGAAGTCTGCCTTCCTTTAACTCAGCCAGAAGTTCTGTGAATTTGTTTGACTGGCTGATATCCAAAAGCATGATGATTTAAATCTCTGCTAACCAAAATAAGATGTTTACAATTTTGTGGATTAGCACGATTTAATCAGTCCAGTGGAAGTACTTGGCCAGGGATGTTTAAATCACTTGTAGTTAATTAATCTTGAGGAGAAGAATGAAAAGCGCCACAAGATTCAGATAAGTACCCATTTATGCACATTTTTAGATGAGCAAATATGTATGATTCCTAAGCAGAATTCAACCTTGTTTTACATTAGTGCCACAGGCAGAGACTGTCCCTATCCTGTGTACTCTAAGACACGTAACCAGTGTCCAAAACAGCACCAACAAACGTTTCATCCCCAGTAGTGCAGTGCGCTGGATGCTTGGGCTGACCAGACATTTTCCATCTCAGAACTTAGGCTGTAGCATGTCCAGCTAGCAGCCCTTCCAAAAAGCTCTCCTTAAACCCGGTGTCTGTTTGAAATTCCATATATGAAAGGAGATGACTAGTTAAAACCCGGGACAGGGCAGAGCTATTTTTGTTCTCTGTTCTCCCCCTGCTTGCTTCATGGCTCCAGGCAAATCATTATTTCTGAGGCTGAAATAGTGGTCCCGATCTCCTTTTGTAAGCTTCTCTGACTTAATCAAATTACTAGATGGGAAAAAAATGTTATTGATTCATTAATGGTCCATGACAACATTCATGCCAAAGCACTGTTATTTCATCAAGCTCCTGTCACTAGGTGCTGTAATGGCTCCTGCACAGTGAGATGAAATCCATCAGGCATTCCTATTTCCTGCTGTGTCTGTTTGGCTTTGACTGACCATTGCCTTTTCTCCCTTTTTCCCAGCGTCACTTAGCACCCGAAGTTTTTCAAGAAATATTTGGCATGACGATACAGGAGTTTGACAAGTTACCTCTCTGGAGACGCAACGACTTGAAGAAAAAAGCAAAACTCTTTTAAACTCCCTTTAAACAATCCAACAAAAAATGGTGCATAGGATATTTGAATCATACAGTCCAAACTATTTGGAAACAACTACTTAGCCACCAAAAAGGGAAAGAAAAATAGTGGCACCTCTATAAAAAGCCGTTGAACAAGATGAGCATTTGCCCTCCTGGAGCATAGGGAGAAAATGTCTGTGCTCAGAAACGTTGATGATGGTTTTCCAGGTGTCAACCTTTTACATGATATTATACGAGATAGGAAACCGTTCTGTTCTTCTCCCTCAATGATGTTCCCTTACTCTTCTCCATAATAGATATGATGGACTTAATTGCTAGAGCCAGGAAGTGCCCTTAGGATGCCTTGTAGACTAAAGTAGTTGTAACCACTCCAAGAACCGAAATATATATATATATATAAAATATATATATATGTATGCGTGTGTGCGTGTGTGTATTTATATCTATCCATCTATCTATCTATATATATATCTGTGTGTTTATGTATGTGTATATATGTATATATATATGGAAAGAAAGATAGATAGATATTCTGTAGTTAAGAAGACCTTTGTAACATATCCATATGGTTACATTAATCCTTTTGCACAGCTGTTTCTTAATTGGCACCCTTTTGAAATGGCATCTTCTTTGTGTGATAAAAATCTGCAAAGCTGGGCTCTCTGCTCACTTACACTGCATACTGATTGAATTGTTGGAAAATAGACTCCTTGCTTGTACTTGTACATATTTGCTAAGATATAGATAGTGAATGACAGTGTCTGTTGTCAGTCTTCCCTCTTCCATCCCTTCTGCTTGGATTAATAAGGCTGGAGCTTAACCAGTCATTTAAGTAATTTAAGATGATTTAAGTAATGGGAATGATGGAGAAGAGTCAGTTTTCTTGTTATTTAGTCGAGGAAGATGGGTGGTTGGGGGTGGGAGTGTCAGAGTAAGAAAATGGATTTCTAAGTGTGCCCTGGTTCACACCCAGAGATTTTGGGACAGACTCCCTGCTGGAATTACTAGTACAGCTCCTCAAACTGCAGTGGAGTTTCAGTATTTTGTATCAGCAGGGAAGTTGGTTCTCTGAAAACCAACACTGAAGTTCATCCCTCTTGGGGAGGAATATTATGCGTTAAAAGGTACCATCAAGGTGCCATGATCTGCCAATGGAGGCTCCTTAGTTAAACTGCAGTTGCTGATGTCAGTATGGCATAGTGCATGGGGCCAAGCACTCTCTTTTTAGTCAATGTAGTTTCACTTGTGCTTGGAAAAGGGGCACAAACATTTTGTCTTCTCTCTCCAAGAGAGAGAAGGATCACCTTGGATCACCAGGGGCACAAACATTTTGTCTTCTCTCTTGACATTTCAAAGCTCCAGCCTTGGTGATCTTTACTTCCCTTCGTGCCTGACGGTCTGTGAAGAGAGAGAAATCATGCAAGATAGTTTCTGAGCTGCACTGAACTCCTTATTGCTTCAGATCTTCTTCCACTATGCTGCAGCTTTAAGAACGGCCTGTACATACCTGACTGCTTGTAGGGAGGTCCTATGCAAAGGAGGAGGAGCGCTGAAGTAACCGAGTGCTTTGTGGCTGCAAGGTCAGCTTCTTCTCTTCCTTGGTGCTTAACTGCCAATGCAGAATGCACTAATTAGCACATCGCCTCATATGGGAGAGGGTCATTTAGGTTCTGTGTCTGTCAAAGAATATCAAATTTTCATTTTTAATGCAGAACTGTTGGCACAGGAGACATCAGAGCCCTTGTGTTCTCTGTTATGGTGTCAAAATCTGGAATGGGAAGTAGTCCTGTGTGGTTGTGTAGCACTGCATTGGCTTCAGCAAACGGCATTTCACTTTCAGCACTGGCCTAGCTAAAACGAGTGTACAGGACAACCCAAATCCTGCCTTTTCTTTGCTGTCTTAGGAAGCCCTGTTGCAAAGTGTCAGTGCGATTCTTTTGAAAAAATCTGGGTTAAAGATGCAATATATGAGAGATTGATGCAAGTGGTCAGCACCTGCTCCGTGTCCCTAGAGGAAAGGAATGGTGAGGCCAAGGGAATGAACTGGACAATATACTGCTGTGCATATGGTATCACAGTCCCATTTAACAAAAATCCTCCGTGAACACTGTGACACTGTTTTGAGGAAGCTCTCTGGACATTACTGAGATTCAGTGACAATCAGCTCAACCTGCTTTACTTCATTTTTTCAGAACAAGCACCTGAAATGGTCTTAGAGCAACGCTGAAAAGTAAATAGGAAGTTAGGGGCACTGGTAGTTTGAGATGCATTTTGGAATGGTTGTTGAAGCCAAGTACATATGATGAAAGAGCAGCAGTGCTTTGCAATCACAGATTTTGTGTTTTGTGTCTCAGAAATTCAGTGATTGTTACCTGCAAGTATTGGGTTAATTTTAAGATGAATCCACTAATTTTGAGTTTTAGTACATTTGAAGTATTAAAGTTCTCAGAAATTTGTCAGCTCTCATCCTACAGATAACACTGGGCTGCCACAGCATCTTGGACACTCCTGGTTAACATAGTGGAACAGATAAAATGCATTTCCCACTCTTCTTCTAATACTACTTCCAACTGAGAACATCAAGGGTTTCCTGAGCCTTAACTGCATGCCCGTAGCTGATTCCTAGTTATCCCAACCCTGTGTAGCCCCAAGAGCTCTCGTGGCTGTGAAACCCATCCTGCTGCCAGCTGCAGGGTGTGTGTTGGTTTCTTCAGTGGGCTGTTAGCACTCATCACTGAACAGTTTCTGTTCTTTCATCAGCTTGTCCCACCTAATAAACACAGACACGTAGCCCTGGGGAGAATTTTCTTCCTAAGTAGTGAAGCATTTTCCCAGTAGCAATCCAGTAGCGTTTTGCTCTTTGGGCAGCTCTGCTTTTTTGGGCAATTCTTTGCAATTTCCCTCTTCAATATTCCCTTGAGACCTGTGGTGGATAATTGAATTGAATATTGTAATATGTCACAGAATCACATTTTGTTTAAAGCTTTGTAATAAGGCTCTGCTTCAGTAAATGCTTAAGCAAGTGTAAAGATGTGCCTTACATATATGCTTAATTTCCTCTCCTAGAAAGCAATTGAGCTTCTGATAAAGCCCCATTGAACTCAGTGATGTTGACAGAAAATCAGTGCCATAAGTGCTGAAAACTGATTGCTTTTGCTCTTTTACTCTTTTTCCCCTTCCTGCCTTAAGAGCAATATGAGAGCCAAGGTGCAGTGTCAAAGCAGCCATCCAGGATGGAACTGCAAAACTAACAGCACGTGCACAAAATGGGATTCTGTACACGTGTAGGTTTGCAAACACAAACGTACACATATTTATGGGTATCAATTAAAACACAGGAAGTTCTATCTCCATGTGAGGAGGAACTTCTTTACTGTGAGGGCCAGAGCCCTGGAACAGGCTGCCCAGAGAGGTTGTGGAGGCTCCTCTGGAGATCTTCCAAACCTGCCTGGATATCACCCTGTGCCACGTGCTCTGCGTGTCCCTGCTGGAGCAGGGGGGTTGGACTAGTTGATCTCTAGAGGTCCCTTCCAACCTCAACCATTCTGGGGTTCTGTGATATCACACAGTCCCCATTTGGAGTTGAGATGCTGTGTTGAGTAGTTAACCTGGAGTTTCCAAACGGTGCAGAGCGCCGTGGCTAGGGATGGTGAGACTGCAGCTGCACACAGTGTGTGTGTGCATGTGCCTGCCGGGTCCTGGTCCTGGTTCTGTGCGCTCTGTTTGGGGCTGCAAAAGGCACGGTCAGTTCCCACCATGGTCCAAGTGCCAAGTTGGCCACAGTAATATTACTTATAAGAGCTTTTTCTGGCATAGATGAATAGTTGTAGTACCTATACCTGGCATGGCTTAAATGAAAGGGTAATACTCTGTGCAAAGTCTTCATATTAATGAGGAATGCAGTGATTTGACTATGATTTTTTCTCTCTCCATGTACTGGTGTGGAAGTTCCCCTGTGAACTTATGGAAAACAGTTCTTCCTTACAGCGGGAATAGCTGGCCACCCATCATCCTTGCCCTCATTTAGTGTAGGCTCCACCCTATTGAAAATCCAAGTTGAAAGTTTTAACAATGTTGAAATATGTTTTTCATTTTATCTGGAGACAGAATTAAGTCAACTTGAATGGAAATTACTTAACTATCCATTATTTTTCAGTGACGCAATTTAGCCTCAATTATGTAAGATGAAAGTAGCATCTCGAGACTGCCCATAGCCTATCCAAACTTGCTAAACTTTCCTTACTCTTCAAATGAAGCATAACTTCATTTGGAGCTTGCTCAAGGAGTTTCAGTATTTTTTCTTCTGTTTGTTATTTCATGCTGGTGTCATTAAGACAGTTTGTAGTGGCATCAGTCTGGCAAACATCCTTGTGTTCAGTTTGGTTAGTGGCCTGTCATTCAGTAGGGCTCGTTGTGGACTCCAGCTAGCTGCAATGTGCCATGGAAGGTGGCACTAGGAAGGCATGGCCAGACAGGGGCCAAGACAGCTCCCTGGCTCGGGCCGTGTCTTTACCTCTCTCGAGACAGGTTTCACCTCCTTGCGAGGATGCAGGGTCTAATGGCCATGCGGCTCCGTGCTGGAGTGCTCTTTGGTCCTTCCCAGTTGCACTTCAGCAATCCTTTTTCAGCCATACAGCTCAGAAGTCCCACTGTTCAGGGAAGGTCACAAGAAGTCCCTTTCCTAAAAATCTGTTACACTGAAATTAGGTGTATTTTGAGGTGAAATTCCTTTCGGTAAGCTACTGCTTCATGGTGCTACATGGTTCAGTCCCTGGGGCAGTCAAGTTTGGAGCACCTGTAAATCATGAGTGTCTGTGCTGAAAATAATCATATGAAATGTTATAACAAGTGACAGAAAAATTAGTCCCCCAAACAGTAAGAACATGAACATCCTCTAAGCCAAACAGAAATTTATCTTGGGTCCTTCTTTCTTTAGTAAAGTCTAGGATATCTTTGCACGTTTAAGTCCTAGCGCTGGTAGTCTCCCTTTCCACGATTCATTACTTTCCTTCAGAATTTATTTGTGGAGGAGGATATCCACATCCTGAAAGTTACTTGAGGCACTAAAAAAGTCAAAGATGATGATGATTCAATAATAATAATAAAAGCATGCAGGAAGCAAGAAAATCAACTGATCTGCCCTGGGATGACACTCATCTTCCCATGACAGAGAGACACTTAGGGCTTGATCTCACAGTCTCTTTCCTCACCCAGGTCCTGGTTTAGTTCTTTATACCCTGCCAAACCTTTTGGCCCTGTTGACACCGCTGCCACAGGGTGCAGGTGCAGCCAGGCCTTCAGCTGGGCGCAGAGCACGGAGGGCTCTCGGCAGCGCGTGGTGCTTCTCACCCTGCTGCTGCGTAATGGAGAGCTGGACAAA